TCGAATTCAAAACAAAGTTCACTTCCTGGGTTTCTTGTGCTTCCTTCCAGTTCCCCCAGCCCTGCCCATTCGGGCATGCTCAAGGGGTTGGAGCTCTAAAGATTTGGACCTTTCATACTGCCTTCGAAAGGCCTTAGCCTGAGCATTGGTTGCCAATTGAAATTCTGCCAGGACCGCAAGTCCTTCATTAATGTATATTCTCGCGGTCTTTGCCGCCTGCCATCTACCTGCTATAAGCAGTTTGTCTAGCGACCCGTGTTTTGCAAAATAGGAGGTGGCACCTCCCCTTCGCAGGCTGTAGGGCCTAAAAGAATGCTCACTGAGACCAGTCGCCTCCAAGTACTCAGAAAATTTCTTTCGCCAGACATGGGCAGCCTCGCAGAGTGAAGGTCTAGAACCTGGGGTATTTTTCCATTGCCATAAGCGTCTCAAAGTATCCTCTTCGCGGATTGTGACACTTTCGGCTGCGCCTTGCCGCCGTCCACCTTTGGTCATCCCGAGGGAGACTATTGCGACACTTCGGGGTCCCTTCTGCTCTATGTGTGCCTTTTTGATACCCAACAGTTCACCTGTTCGAAGAAGTCCATGGAAACCTAAAAGAAGAGAAAGGGCAAAAAGGTCATCTTTCTTGAACAAGCTGTAGCCAACGAGGATGTCCAAAGCTTCTGTGGGTAATGGAGGTGCACGACTGGGAATTTCAGTGGAGGACCATGTCTTCATCAGTCTCCAGGAGGATGGGAGCCTCCCCTTAGCCGATGGGCGGTAGTCTTGGACTGCTGCAATGGAATCACAAGCTAGGGCTCGGCCTTCTCCACTTTCCCATAGGAATTCAATGTAGTGGCTCAACCAAAAATCAAGCGTCGAGGGATCATCTGGAAATCTCCCGCTCTCTTCTCGAAGGAAATTGCGAAATCTTTCAAGGGCCTTGTCATATCGTGCTCGTGTGGCTGGTTGAACAGCTAAGTGACGTAGTGGTCCCAAAGCTCGCCTCTGCTGTTGTCGGGATGCTTTGTCTTTGCCTTCTACATATGCTTTGCTATGACTCACCATTTCTTCTTTGCGGGGCGCCTCGAAGGCGCATCTGCAGGGTTTTCCTTCGTGTGAACATAAGCCCACACGCCATGTGAGCCACTGGCAAGGAGCAAAGCATTTATCCGACTCATCGTTCGACGAAGCTTTCTGCTGCTGCTGCGTCCCCTTGACAGGGAGTGGAGACACACCAAACGTGCACAAATTTTGTTCGCAAGGCCTTCTTCTTCACAATGCGCCAGCGGAGAGAAGTGAGCACTCGAGGACATTGATGTGTTCAGGAGATCCCTTCCAGGGCCAACCCATGACTGTCTTCCACTTCCATAAAGCTGATGGCAAGCTGGCCCTCAAACGATGGTAGCGAAGCGTCTCCTCACTAGGTGCCTGGATCATGATGTCCTCTCCTTTCAAGCTGACCATGTTCAGGAGTTTAGAGACAAGCTCGTACTCCCCTTCGGTCCCTGAGCGCCTGATACGCCTCATGGCTTGTCGCTGCAACACCCCATGGCGGCCCCCGGCCTTGTCGCTTCCACTGCTTCTTGAGGTGTCTTTGCCATGCATAGCCCCAGCAGATGACCAAGCTGCGAGAGGAGCCAAACAACCACGGGCACATTCCAACTGTTGCCGATCAAGGACTTTCTTTCATCTTCATGGGCTTCGCTTCCTTGTTGCTGTTTTGGCATGCAATGTACCGTGTAGTTGCGAGGAAATCCCATGATCGTCTCGCGTTCCTGAATGGACGGGATTCGGCACACGCCGTTTCCTTCTTTGACAAGTAGGCGATGAGAGTATTGGTAAGGGGGGAAACGAAACTTATCCTTTTCCCAAGCAGCTTTCTCCTCTGGCTTCAACTCCTCAAGGCCTGCTGGCCTCCTTCCCGGCCATGACCGCGGTCGAGAGGTGGTAAAAGTCGGAAACGGCTCCTCCGATGCCTTGACGCAGCCTGGCTCTAGGAAGTCCTTGGGGTCAATCACGGAGTGCAGCTCAATCTCATAGTATGAGGCCATTCCCTGGTCAACTCTCGGGTGAAAGCGCACACCTGGACCTGGTTGCAACTCCCAATCCAGCCAGTACAGCCGGGGGCGCCTCTATCCTCACTGGGGTGTCACCAAAGTCTCGGGACATGATCTCGCGGTCTTTGCGGTCCATGGAGGCCACGCTCTCTGCCAAGTACCTGACCTGTGCCCAAGGAAAATGCGATTTCAGGAGCTCCTTTATGCGCCGCACGTGACTGAACAAACAGCTCCGGTGATCCTTCAGGGCCCCACGACGGTCACTGTTTAAACCACTCACTCCTTGACAAGGTGGTCCAGCACCTAAGAGAACTAGAGAGGCCTGGGAAAACCTTCCTGCCCAACCACGTACCATCTCCGAGTCCACGGCTTCCACTCCACCTTCCACGAACAATGTAGCGGGGAACTTGCTCTCTAGGACGCGGCTGGCCTCCTTCTTTACTTCAACGCTGATGTGACCCAGGATGGGGAAACCACAAGCATCTGCTGCCACTCTCAATGCGCCAATCCCATCAAAGAGCCCCACGGTGAGGACCGCACACAGGTCAGATGGTTCCGCAACATCCCCACGCACACTAGCTCTGGCTGCTGCTTCACCAAAGCCTGTAAGACCAACGCTCCGGGTGAGCCCTCCTCCACTGGTAGAAGCGTCGCCGCCGTGACCTCAGCGCTCACCTCCAACCTAAAATCCATCTGTGCCAGGGGGACCAATGCGATGAATCTAGCAATTTCCAGCTTGACTTCATGGGGAATCTCCAGCTTGATCACTGGAGGATAGTGCTTGAATTCCTGGACAAAGCGCCACACTGCGTTCAAGGAGCCCAAGAGAGGTCGTCGAAACATGCTCATGTACACCAAGCCTCCTGTGACGATCTGGATTTGCTTCACTGAACACCTCTTCTCCCCTAGTAGGAGACTTCCTAGTTGGGCATACTTCAAGACCTTCGCCGGTTTGGGATAAGCTATCCCCTTCACCCCATCAATGATGGCACCCTGTACCTCTGCCTTCAAGGCTCGAGCCACTCCTTTCTTAGGGTGTCGAGGGACTCCCCACCGTTCATATTCTGACCGGAGTGCCAGAATGCTAGCGCTTGGCTCCCCCCTTAGGAGCTCTGCTGTCTTCTTGTCCATCTTCTCCAGGGAGTCAAAGTTGTCCAGATAAATTCTGCGCAGGGTTGATGATGAAGAGAAAGGCGCCTGTCCTTTCGTATCTCCTGTTCTGGCTTGAGCCCCTCCTCAACCAAACCCCCCGCACGCCTCACCATAGCCCGATGCACGTGCTGTGCTAGGCTCACGCTATTCTTAAACCCCATGGGGAGCACCTGTGAGGCTAAAAAATAGGGCCCGTCATCATCCGGCCACAGCTCACGCGGGATGGGTTTGTTAAAACCAAGGAACATCGACCATTCCCGAGGCACCTGGAAAATATAAAAGAAACAACGAACATCCTCAGACGACACGACCAGATCCTCTGCCGGCATAAGTTGCAGTGGACTCATCGTCGCCCAGGTGGGTAACGTGGAGACGTCTCCATCGATGCCACGACATACGAGATTCGCCGGTCGAAGATCCATGATCAAGCGGTGGATGGGGTGTCCTCCTTGCTCCTCCCCCTTGGGGACTCCAAAGAGTCCGTTTAGGAGGGGTCGACCGCCTACATGATAAAGTTCGGCTTCCTTTAGTGCAATGCACACTCCATTGCCCAACAACCCTTCACACACTCGGGGCCACGCCTCGTCGCTGATCATCAATCGAGGAGGCTTCATTGGCTTCTGCATCTCCTCGGGCAAAACGTACGATGCGAAATTCATCACATAGTGCCTACATCCAAGTTCAACCACATCAGCCAAGGGAACCGAGGCAATCTCAGCGGGCATCGCTGGGGAAAGGTTGTCCCATGTGGTGTATTGAGCACAAAGAACTTCTTCCCCACAGTAGTCAATGGTCTTTACCTGTAGGAACTCCTGCCATGAAGTCTCCTCAAACTTCTCTTCCCATTCCAATACAGTCCTGGTT